GAGGAGAAGGACTGGCCTTCAGGGAAATTGACCCACAATTGCCCAGATTGCTACAGAGGGGCTCCTGTTTCTGGAGGGTTAGGGTAAGAATGGAAGGAAATGCAGCAACCTCTGGGATGGAGCCTCCAGGATTCTCCATCGCAGCAGCTCTGACCTCAGCCTCCATCCCCTGGGGCAGGAATCAGCATCCTACCCCATCCACAGCCAGGGGCCACTCCTGCCCCAGCTGCTCACCCTGTCTGGTCCCTCCTTGGGCAGCCTCCAGCACACTCCTCCTGATGCCTACCCTAGGAGCCAGCTGTTCCCCAAGCCCCAGCCCACTCAGCTTTTCTCCTGCTCCCTGAGGGTAAGTCTGGGGCTTACACGATGGTCCTGCCCACTGGTGGCCCTGAGCACCCCTCTGTCGCCCTGTCTCACATCCATACCTCCTTCTGTCCCTCACGCCATAGGTGACCACCACCTTGTGGCCAGCGTGATGCTAGGACCAGGGGACATAGAGACAGCTCAGGCTATTCCTGCCCTGAGGGAGCCCACAGCCCAGTGAGCCAGCCCTCATTATGCGCCTACTGTGTGCCACTTGAAGCCCTTCGGCTCATTTAACAGCCTCCCTCCGAGGGAAGGGCTGTTATTCCCATTTACAGCAAGGAGACCAAGGCTCAGAGGGGCCAAGTGACATGTTGAGTGGCAGAGCCAGCTCTTTAGAGCCCGTGCTCTTTCCATCTCCACAATTTACAATTTGATTGAGGGTCACGGTGGTGGGTGCCAAGAGTCTGTGGAGGATGGTCAGGGAGGGGAGGCCTTTGAGGCCTGGAGGGATGGAAAGGCTTCCTGAAGGAGCATCAGGTCTGGCCTAGGGGTCAGAGAGATGGAGGAGAGAAATCCAGGGAACCAGGCTGGACCTGGGATCACCATACTGGGTCCCAGAGGGCAAGGTGGGTTTTGAGGGGAGCTGTTCAGGCTGCCTCCCAAGGGGGGCCTGTAGAGTCCAGTCAGTATGCCTGGGTTCAAATCTTATCCCCACTCCTCCCCTACCTGCTGACCCCTCTGACTCCCCTCCACTCACCCGTGTTGAGCCTTTATGCAAATTAGCAAAAAGCGCCCCTTTCTTAGGACACGACTGCCATGTGCCAGCAAATCATCATAATAAATATGCACATTGATGGTCACCATGATGTGAGTGGCACTTCTTAGGGGGCAGTGCAAAACTTGCTCAGCCATATGTGGTGGCCCTTCTCTGAGCCTCTGTGCAATGGGGGTAGATACCCCTAAATAAACAATCCCTAGTGTTATGCAGACTATGAGAGATGAAGGAGGCCGTGGCCGGGGCATTGAGGCAGCGATCACTGCTCCGTGTCTCTGGGAGCAGGGCCAGATTGGCTTGCTAATGGGTGGAGCGGGCAGGCCTCTCTCTGCTGTAATGTGCCCTGACAAGGACCATTAGTGCCATTGGGGCCTCTTTATCAGTGAAGCTGCTCCCCAGGCCACTTCCTCCAGCTACTTCCTCACTTCCCCTTCCCTTCCTTCCAGCCCCTGCCATTCAGTGTTTTCCTCTGATTGTTCTTAGAGTGACCCCCGCTGCCTGCCTCCCTCTGTGCTAGGGCCTCTTCGTCCCCATCTACAGGCTCCCTGTGGCCTCCGGCTTCAGCTCCCAGGGCTTTAATCCCTAGGTTGACCCAACCCCAGCTCATGCCCTAGTTCTGATCATGGGGTTCCTGACGCCTTGTTGCTTGGGCCCTGCCTGCATTCCTTCCATGCCTGGATGCCTGACCCCCCACCACCGCCAGCTCTAGTTTTGGCTGGTTCCCAGGAGTGGGAGGTGCAGCCCCTCATTCTTGCCCTGCCTTGCTCCACTGTAAGGATTTGGACACGTGAGGACAATGGCCTTTGGGGCATAGGACCCTGGCTGCCATGGGCCCTCCCAGCCCCTGTGGTCTTCCCGGCCCCCTGTCAGCCTTGCCTCTGGGCCCTGCATCATCCCGGCCACAGAACGTCTTCCCAGCGCCTATGGCAGGTTCTCTACCTTCCCGCCTCTGGGGTACTTGCCTGGGACCAGACCCATCCTAGGCCGAGGCTCACCCCTCACCTAGGTCCCTCTCAGAACCTTCTCTGCTGGTCAGAGGCACACAGGCCTTGCCCCTGAGGAGGCAAAGTGGTCTCTGTGGACAGACAGCCATCTAGCACTGCCAGCGTGGGCTCTGTAGAAGACTAGGCACTTCTTTGTGGGGATTGGGTGTTAAGCCTGAGGGAAATCTCTTACCTTGGTGAAATGCCAGGGTAGGAGAAAGGGTGTTTCCTCACCTATCATTTCATTATCAAATCTTTCTCAAGTTCCTGTGCCACCTGGAACACAAAGACTGCCGAGATCTCAAGGCACTTATGTACAGCAGGGAGACTGACATGTATAGAGTTCTAGAACTGTGGGGTCTGAGCCATAAGAGAGATGGCTGCATGGGTTACAGATCTCTGCGGAGATGGGATTCACCCTGCGAGACAGGGCAGTCTTCAGGGAGGAAGCACTCTGGAAGGAGTAGGGGTTTGCCTAATGGAGCAGAGACAGGTTGCTTTCTAGATGGAGGCTCCGGCTGTGTGAAGGCTTGGGGTCTGGAGAGCCTGTTTGGGGAACCATATGTAATTCTGTGCATGGGGCATAAAGCACAGAGCTGGCCTGGGCCAGAGTAGGCCCTGATATCTACTGAGAAGCTCTGGCCAGTGGGAGACTCAAGCTGGGGCATGACATGACCAGATGGGTGTCAGTCTAAAGACATGGTTCACCCTTTGCGAGACTCAGATGTTTAAGCTGGCGTGGGACTCACCAGCAGCACTCTGCAGGAAATGAAGGCTGTTATGAGCAAAAAAGAATTTGAGGTGGCAAGAGGGATTCTGAGAAAGACTAGTCCTGGGGTGCTGGCTGGAGGATGGTGGAGGGACGGTCATGTGCAAACCCAGACTGCCTCCATGGGAGGCAGGACTGAGTCTAGGGACTCAGTCATTCTCTGGGTGGTGGCTCCTACGGTTCGATTGATCTAGAAGGGCACAAGTCCTGCCCTGCTCCTAGCCAGGGTTTCCCTATTCTTGACCAAGGCTGGGCTTTGCTGTGCCTGGAACTGGAGCTTGTGCCATTCTTGTATCCAGCTGGGGCAGACACAAGTGGCCTACTCTCTGAGAAGCCACCTCCCCAAACCTAAACCTGCTAGAAATACTGGGCCTCAGGGTGTCGTCACCTTTGCCTCTCTGTTTCTGTACAAAGTGAGGCTAAGCAAGGCAGTCTGGCTCTGCACATGACAAGGAGTGGTGGCAGCTGCTCACCCAAGCACAAGTCGCCCAACTGGAGTGACCCACCTGGGCAGGAGGGTCACCCAGGCACTAGCCCTCTTGCCGAAGGTGAGGCATGGAGCAGGCCCTTGGTGGGTATGGAGTCATGGACCATTAGGGTATGAAGGCCTTTCCTACATTCTGGAGAAGCAGAGGATGTCACAGATACGCTGGTAGTGTGCTGAGTGCTTGCCAAGCCACCTGACTTATATTATCTCATTTAATTCTCCATCAATCCCATGGCATAAGTACTAGTATTGCCCTCATTTCACAGAGGTGAAAACTGAGTTACAGAAAGGATGAGTACTTTGCCCAAGGTTACACAGCTTGTAAGTGGTGACAGGGATCTGAGGTTCCCGGGTAGACTGATGGTATCTGCATGGTGTGGGGATGGAGGGATTCTGGACAGTGAGAGGACTTTCCCTCCTTCCTGCCCAATCCTGCATGTGGTCATAAAGTACTAGTGGAGTGGAAGTCGGCTCAGTCTCCATCCTTGCAGAACCCACACTCGTCTGGGGGACACAGTGGGCAGGTCATGGTGTGCAGAGCGTGAGTTTAGACAGAGGGATGCTGATGCTGCGGGAGCAGTGCAGCAGGCATGAGGGTGGCAGGGTGGATCCAGGGAGGCTTCACAGAGGCAGTGATATTTGAGCTGACTTGAAAGGTGAGTGGGAATGTTCAGGGAACAAGCCCACAGACAGTGGCCCTTCCAGGTTGTAGGAACTGGTTGTGGACGTCGAAGCTGGAGAGATCAGGGGGCCACACTCCAGGTCGGCTATCAGTAAGGAGCCATGAAGAGGTTAAACTGGGATGGTTTAGAAACATAGCAGGGAGCCCAGAGGTAGGGCTGCCTCCGGGACTTCACACCCTCAAGAGAAAGGTAGTCTTGGTTCTTCCTCACACTGACCTCTCCTCAAGGGCTGTTGACTTGTTCTGATGATCTCAGCAGTTTCCCGGGATGCAGGATATTCCAAGCTTTTTGTGCTTCCAAGATAAGGGGACGGATGAAAGCAGGGAGAAACCAGAGGTCCAGGAGGAAGTGCCTGCAGACGCCTGAGCTGGCCCCTCAGGAAATAGCAGTGGTGGTGTCAGTGTCCCCCGCCACCCCACTTCCATCTGGCTGGAGACGGGTATCTGGCCCAGCGGAGGCAGCAGAACACAGCACTTCTGTACTTCTTCCAGTCCAGAGACCAGGGTGCTGGTCCTTAATCCTCTGCTAACTTGCTGTGTGACCTGGGCAAGTCACTTGGCCTCTCTGGGCCTCAGTGCTTTTTTCGGTAGCAGGGGGTAGAGGTGGAGAAGAACAGTGCCTTCTTTGTAGGCATGTGTGTGCGGGATGTGACTTCACAGACTGCCGATCACTGTGCCCGCACCAAGGGAGCCATCCCCAGAACAGGGAGAGCAGTACATGATGGAAAGGCTGCAGGCCACAGTGAAAAGAGCACAGCCCCGGCGGGGAGGCCCTGACTGCCCCTGGCTCTCCACCACTCTGTGACTTTGGGCTTGGTGATGGTGGACAGGTCACTTCCCCTCTCTGAACCTCAGTTTCTCCCAGGGTAAAGAGGGCAGGAATTTCTGCCTGGCAGATTTGGCTACAAAGTGGGAGGGAGGGGAACACATTCTGTTGGGAGGCAGCCTAAGGGGCTGGCCCCTGACCCGCTTAACCCCCTCCTCCTCTGCTCTTCCAGTGGGAGCGCCTCTGGTTCCTGCTCCTCACCTTCACCTTCGGCCTCACGCTCACCTGGCTCTACTTCTGGTGGGAAGTCCACAATGACTATGATGAATTCAACTGGTGAGTGGGGGCAGTGGGCCGGGGAGGAAGGGCCCAGAGCCGGGTAGCCAGTAGCTGGGACCTGGGGGCTGGAGTTAGAGCCTGTCTCCCAGGCTGGCCCTCTGAGCTCTGCCACCAGCTCTCTGTGTGGCCCTGGGCAGGGCCTACTCCCTGGGAGCCTCTGTCCTGCCCGCCTCCAGGGCTTTGGTGAGGAGGCTGCTGTGGGACTGTAGTGGGAAGTGCCTGAGGTGTGGGTGGGGATTGTATCACAGACTGGCAAGAAAGAGGAGGAGGACACAAAGAGAGATCCATGCCCTGAGGGGAGTCCCTGGGAATTTAGGGAAGGCTTCCTGGAGGAAGAGGCATGGGAACTGGGCCTTAAAGAATGGCTGGGATTGAAACCTGGGGAACTTTAGGAGCTGGTCTTGGAGACCCCTTGGTGCTTGCATTGATGATTCAGCCTGCATTTCTGGCCCCCTGAAGAGGTGGAGGGAAGCCTAAAAGAACAAAGGCTTACAGGAGCCAAAGCCCACTGGGGAGACACAGGACGCTCCTTCCCGGTGCTGTGACCATGGAAAATAGGGACATAAGGCTGGGCCAGGGCTCAGCCGGGGCTGGGGCCTCTGGTCACCCCCTTTGTAGACAAGAAATCTACAGCTCAGAGGTCTCTGCAGAGGAGATAGCCCCGGATCCTAGGCCTCCTGACTCCCTTAGCTAGGCCCTGGGCAGGGCTGGCAGATGAGCTTGGGGACAGCTCAAGGTCCTTTGTGGGTACCTCAGATCCAAAGGCAGGGCTGTCTGAGCCACTTTCCTGGGTACAGGAGGGGCACCTGTTTTTTTCCTCTTCCCTATTCCATCGCCTGCCTTTTGTTAAGCAGTGGGAGGTCATGGGAGGGGGCAAGGACCCAGGGTTCCATTGACAGATAAGGAAACAGGCCCAGGTCACACAGCCAGTTGGGGACAGAGCTGGGGCTTGGAAGCCTGGCTCCTCACTCCCCATCCATTGCTGTTCCTTCCTTTTTTTTTTTTTTTTTTTGGAGACGGAGTCTTGCTCTGTTGCCCAGGCTGGAGTGCAGTGGCACAATCTCAGCTCACTGCAAGCTCCGCATTCCGGGTTCACGCCATTCTCCTGCCTCAGCCTCCCGAGTTGCTGGAACTACAGGTGCCCGCCACCACGCCCAGCTAAGTTTTTGTATTTTTAGTAGAGACGAGGTTCACTGGGTTAGCCAGGATCGTCTCAATCTCCTGACCTCGTGATCCGCCTGCCTCGGCCTTTCAAAGTGCTGGGATTACAGGTGTGAGCCACCGCGCCTGGCCTATTCCTTCCTTTTGATCAGATGTTCAGGTCAGCGTGGCCGTGAGCAAGTCCCCGGTGCTCTCTGAGCCTCTCCTTCTGTAAATGGGATAACTCCGACCTCATCAGGTCTTTCTGAGGATGAACTGAGATGATGGACACAACAGGGCTCAAAGCTCTACCTAAACATGAGGGCTGCTTCCTGGGAGACCACATCTCTAGCTGGGAGGCAGCATGATGTTAGTATTTGGGATTTTCAGGACCCTGGGCTTCTGACAGGCTGTGGTTTAGGATTCTGTGATGATCCTGGGACTCTGTTCATGGAGCTGGGTGTCCACTTTTCCCCGCATGGCACCAGGCTGTGCCTCTGTTATTAATGAACGTAATCAAGAATATGCTGCGGTCCCACCCCTGCTCTGCGGCAGCCAAGCAAGATGAGCCGGAGCCCCGGCAGAGTCCCAGAGGTGGCCTCTGGCCTTTATTAAATGCCATAAATCAATTATTCATCTTTGCAGATGTCCAAAGCATGGGCACCATCATGAGTAAATGAGGGAATGTTCCTTATTGGTCCTCAACTGCAGACCCGGACAGTTCTTCCAAACTGGAAGTCTGCTGCCTAGAAGATCATCAAGTCTACCCCCATCATGTACAGATGGGGAAATGGAGGCCCAGAGAGGGGCAAGACTCATTCATGGTCACACAACCAGTTAGTGCCAAAAACATGAATTGAGGACAGACTGAAGAGATTAAGGCTTAGAGAGGTTAAGTAGCCTATCCAATGTCACACAGCAAGAAGCAGACAGATCTGGGACAGAAACTTCAGCCTGCCTGACTGTATCATGTCCATGGAGCCACCCACTCTGCCCAGAAAGTGAACTCCCTGTCACTGGGAGATTTAGGCGGAGGATGGGTTCCTGCTCTGTCGGGGAGGTGGCAAGGGGAGGCCTGCCTGGCACTTAGGGATGCCTGGAGACCTGCAGCTTCTTCAGCCTGTCACCTCAGTTTCTTGGAGTCAGTGCTGGGGTTCAGGATGCCCTGGCCCAGTCCTGATGGTCTCAAGAGTCTCTGGGAACCAGGCACAATGACTCATGCCTGTAATCTCAGCACGTTGGGAGGCCCGGCAGGCAGGTCACATGAGTCCAAGGTGTTCAAGATCAGCCTGGGCAACGTGAAAAAACCCCACCTCTGCAAAAACTACAAAAAATTAGCCAGGTGTGGTGGCATATGCCTGTGGTCCCAGCTACTCAGGAGGCTGAGGTGGGAGGATTGCTTGAGCCTGGGAGGTGGAGGTTGCAGTGCAGTGAGCCGAGATCGCATTTTACCCCATTCTGTAAAATGGGAGTAACGCTGACCTCATCAGATCTCTCTGAGGATGAAGTGAGATGATGAACATGAGAAGACTCAAAGCTCTACCTAAACATGAGGGCTGCTTCCTGGGACACCACATCTGTAGCTGGGAGACCACTGCACTCCAGGCTGGACAACAGAGTGATACTCTGTCTCAAAAAAAAAAAAAAAAAAGAAAAGTCTCTGAGAATAATTCAATTCATATAGTAAGAGGGTGTGAGTGACAGCCGGGGATCAGCACTAGACAGGAAGGCCAGGGAGGGCCGTCTGGGCTGTTGCTGTCCTGAAGGACCTCCCTGCCAAAAGGGGTCACACTTGAGAGACAAATGGGACCAGAACATCTTTCAGGAATAGTTATCAGGAGCAAGTCTTGCCCCTCTTCAGGCCTCAGTTTCCCAACTGTATGGTAAGGTGAGTGCCTTCAGTGATCTGCCAGGCAGTAGATTTTCCCCTGGACTCTGAGGGTGAGGGCCAGGGAGGGCAAATGCCCCATGGGGTCTTCCTGGTGTCCCTTCCCAGCTCTCTGGCAAGGTCCCAGATGACAGCAGGCTGAAGCTGCCTGGTGCTGACTCGGATTTTCTAATGACCTTGAACAAGTTGCTGCCTCTTTCAAGCTTCAGTTTCCCCCTTTGTACAAGGAGGATGTAGGTGGTTCATTCTTTGCAGAGAGCATCTAAGCACTATCTATCAGGCCCCTTAAAAAGTTCATTCCCACCAGGCACAGTGGTGTGTGCCTATAGTCCCAGGCACCAGGGAGGCTGAGACGGGAGGATCGCTTGAGCCCAGGAATTCAAGTTCACCCTGGGCAACATAGCAAGACCCTGTCTCAAAAAGAAATTCATTCTCTTTGACCCTATAATTGTATCTGTAGGAATCTATCCTCAGGAAGTAATCAAAAATACAGAAAGATATGTATAAAAATTTCATTTTTATGTTAATTTATAATAGTGAAGAATTAGAAAGTATTTCATGCCACTAGTAGGAAGCTGGTTACATATGGTACATTAATTCAGTGGAAAACCACGTGGCTGTTTTAAAAATCACATTTTCTCAGGATTTTTACTGGCATAAGTAAATGCTTGTGTTGAGAAGACAGTTGGCCAGGCATGGTGTCTCACGCCTATAATCCCAGCACTTTGAGAGGCTGAGGTAGGAGGATCACTTGAGCTCAGGAGTTTGAGATCAGCCTGGGCAACATGGCAAGACCCTGCCTCAACAAAAAATACAAAAAAAAAAATTAGCCAGATGTGGTGGTGGGTGTCTGTGGTTCCAGCTGAGGTAGGAGGATCGCTTGAGCCCAGGAGGTCAAAGCTTCAGTGAGCCATGTCCACATCCCTACATTCCAGCCTCAGTGACAGAGACCCTGTCTCAAACAAACAAACAAAAACCAGGAGAGTTTAGAGTACTTACCATGCGTCTCACCTCACTTTATCCTCATGAGACCCCATAAAAGGCACTTTCTTATCCCCATCCTATAGGTGAGGAAACTAAGTCTCAGAGAAGTCAAGTATTACATTCAGTCAATTCTAAGACCCCCAATTTTCACATTTTAACATTGAAGTTGAGATGACAGTCACAATTGATGGCATCTTAGACTCAGTGAAGCCTGTCCTCCACAAGGTCCTGCAAGACAGTGAAAAGCAGAGAAGAGAGGGGGTTTGAATCCAGCCTGCGTGCCTCACTTCAAAGCCCGTGCTCCTGACTGTGTTGCTTTGTGCAAAGGGGTCCTGGCTTTGCTGTTTATACAAACATATAGGCACAGGGGCGGGGGAACCCACAGGAGGAAGATCCAGCACAGTCTTGGGAATGATTACTTCTGGCCAATAGGATTATGGGGCATTATTTTCTCCTTTACATTTCTTGGTCCCCGGGTGGCTGCCATGAGCAGGCATGGTATAGCATCAGGCAAACACTGAGTCTCATTGCTGGGTGGGCAGGGCCTGGTCATTGAGCCCAGCCTGTGGTCTGTGTGGAGGCTGAGACCATCTTGATTCCTGGGCCAGGCAGTGGCCTGGTGGAGGTCTGACCCCTGCCCCCTCTCCTCCTGGCAGGTACCTCTACAACCGCATGGGCTACTGGAGCGACTGGCCCGTGCCCATCCTTGTGACCACAGCTGCTGCCTTTGCGTACATCGCTGGCCTCCTGGTACGTGGGGCTGTTTCGGAGGGCAGGTGGCCCTGCTCCCAGGGGAAGGGAGACTGGGCCTGTGCTAGGCTGATGGAGGGCGCCACCCTAGTATAAGGGGGAAAGTTGTATTTGTAGGAATGTTGTATTTATAGGAATCTATCCTAAGGAAGTAATCAAAAATACAGAAAGATATGTATAAAATTTTTATTTTTATGTTAATTTGTAATAGCAACTAATCAGAAGCTATTTCATGCCACTAGTAGGAAGTTGGCTACATATGGCACATGAATTCAGATTTTGCCCAGGGCCTCTAGGGCTGCTGCACCTCTGAGGCCTGGGTCCCCCAGGGGAGGAAGTCCTCTTGCTTTTGCCCATCTCTCTAGGCTGCCCCTTCCTGGAGTGTTTGCCCTGGACCCAGTGAGAGCTGTCCTGGCTGAGAGGGCCCACTGCAGGCTTCCTCTTACAGGAGCCTCTGCTTTGGATTCTTGCTCCCAATATTCCACTCACTGAGATGCAGGTGGATCCCCCATGCTGGACTGGGGGCTCCTTGGGGACATGCTCAAGTCTGTTTCAGAATCCCAGGGACTGGAACTCCCAAAATGTTTGATGAATGAAGTTGCGTAGTCCAAGTACAGCAGCTCCCAGTGACCTCTTAATGGGGAATCCCACAAAGGAAGAACCTAGAGGCCTGGAATCATCTGGGAGGAGGCCAGGCTCAGGCTGGCTAGTCTGGGCTGGGCTGGGGAGGGCAGGGCATTCCCATCGCCTGGAGGGAGGTTTGCTACCTCTGCCCAGGGTCAGACCCAGAGCAGCAGTGGGGAGCAGGGTGTCTGAGAAAGTGGCAAAGTCTTCCCGCCCACACGGGTCTGACAATCACCCTGTGGGCCCCTCCTCAGGTCCTGGCACTATGTCACATTGCCGTGGGGCAGCAGATGAACCTGCACTGGCTGCACAAGGTAAGGGCCGCCTCAGCTGGGGCGGGGAGAGGGCAGGGGAAGCTGGAGGTGGCAGCAGCAGAGGAAGGGCCTGGCCACCGTATCCCTCCCCGGATCACTGTTAGAATTGTTCTCATAGCTAATACTGAGCACTCACTATGCGCCAAGCACATTTCTCACAACCTCGCCCGTCTTCACTCACTTAACGCTCACAGCAACCTTGTGATGTAGGTACTGCTATCATTCCATTTTGTGGTTGGGGAAACTGAAGTACAAAGAGGTTAATTAACTTGCCTAAGGTTCCCAGTTTAAACATGGAAGATCCAGGTTCCTGGTCCCGTAGTCATGCGATTAACCAGCAGAGCTCCACAGCTCATACCGTAGCACCCACCCTCGGGGGCCCTGCCTCGGGTCTCACCCGCCTCTTCCTTCTTTGGTGAGCTCTTTTGAAAACTGTGATCTGGCGGCATTCCCCAACTTAAAGCCTTTTCACCACTCCCAGGATGACCCAAACTTCCCTACCTGGCATGATCTGGCCCCTGCTCATCTCCCAACCTGTCATGGGACAGTCACCCTCAGCTTCTGCTACATGAGACATCCCATGCTCTCCCAGCATGTCTGCCTCCCTCCCCTGTTTAGCACTTTGCTCTTGTCCTCCCTTTCTCTCTCAGACCCCTTCCTCAGTACCTCTCCTACATACACAGGCTTCTCTCCCGGGACTTCCTCAGCCCCTGCAGCCCCCACTGCTACATGTCTGAAGAGCTGTGTTTTTGTGTTTTTAGTATTCGTCTGGCTCCTGACCCCGACCCATCCAGTCGAGGTGCTCCTTGCAGGCCAGAGTTAACCTCCATCTCCCTGTTCCCAGTAACCCCCTCAGGGCTGGGCCCAAAGCAGACAGGCTTCACACAATTCTGGAGCCTTAACTCTCTGCCTTACGTCCGTTGCAGGCATAATGCTGAAGTGTGTTTCTGATGCCTGGCCTTCTTGAGGCCCTGGTGGGCACAGAGTGGTACCCAGCTTAACAAGGCAGAGCCCCTCCCTCTCAGGAACATTTGGATCATCTCCCTTTCCCCAGAGCCTGGCTCCCTGTGGGCCTGCCATTTAGGAAAGGGCAGAAATGTTCAGAAACTACCATGAGCCCATGAGATGGGGCCAGAGTGACTCCAAGGGTAGGGGCTCACTTCTAGCTGGAAGACGGATGTGGAACAGGAAAGGAAGAGGGGATGGCATGAGCCTGGGTTGGGCTGTGTGGAGTGGGAGGTGCCTGTGAGCATCCAGGAAGGCGCTGAGGTTGGTTTGTTACACAGGCCTGGAGCTTGAGAGTCAGACCCCAGAGACTGAAGTCTCAGAGTGGTAGGAGCCGTGAGCAGCCCCTGGTCCCTCCACCTTCCTCCTGCCCCTCACTCTACTCACAGGCCTCCTCTGGGCTTCCACTGTCCCCTCTGTGAGGGACTTTCTTCTCCTGGCCACAAAGCTGGCATTTGAAAGAACTGTACCAGCTGGCACCCTAGGTGCAGCTGGCACATGCTGTGGTCACCTTCTGGGGCCATGCCTGGCTCTCAGCAGGTAAGGTCACACCTGCTTGATCCTAGTGGAGAGACCTATAGAGCCGCTGAGCCAGCTGGAGCTGGCAGATCAATGTAGGGAAGCAGATCCCATTGTCCATGCTGGTGCCAGCTGCCAAGGTGCCTTCCTCTGCCCTCTGCCCCTCTGTGAGATCGCAGCATGAGCAGGGTCCTTCCAGGTGGAGCTGACCCAGAGCTAGGCCCGCCCCACCAGGAGGGAGTTCCCCAGAGCTCAGAGTGTTCCAGCAGGGCCTGGAAATTCTCTTGTTTCCAAGATGCTGTGATTTGATTCTAAAATTCTAAGGACAATTTATTCTTTTTTGCTTGTTTTGTTTTAATTAATTTTTGACCATGTGATACATCGACATGATTCAAAATACAGAAAGCACAAAAAAGTATGCAAAGAAAGTCTCCTCACTATCTTTCCAGACAGATTGTAAGCACATGCACATGTACATATGCATTTCTTTTTTCTTTGAACACAAACAGTCGCCTACTCCACCCTCTGTTCTGCACCTTAACAGAATTCTTGAAGCTTGTTCTTCCCTGCATTAAAGCATCCCTGTTGGTGTCCATCCCTTTCTCCTGCTCCCTGGTCTGGATATTCCCTGATTCCCTAGGCATCTAGCCAGTTCCCTGTTGATAGACCAGATCAACATCCTAGCTGCTTTCTGTCTTTTGCCAGGACGATGTGGCGGTGACCTGGGAGAGGAATTTCTGGGTGAAGAATGTGTACTTTCATCATTTTGATCTTGCCAAATGGCCTCCTTGCCAAGTGCCACCGATTCATGCTCTCTTAGCAATGGATGGTTGTTCTATAAAAACACCCTTGCCCATAAAGCATCAGCTGACTTATTGGCTTTTGTCAGCCTGATGGGTGAAAAATGGTATCTTGCTGTAGTTTTCATTTGCATTTCCCTTCGGGTGAGTTAGATTCAGCATTTTTCACATGTTTGGTTTGAGTAACTTGTGTTTTCTTTTCTATAAAACTGTCTCTTCATATCTTTTGCCATTTTTGCCATTGCTTTTTGCTTATTCATTTGCAGGAACTCTTTATAGATGTGGGAAATTAGCCATTTGGCTAACAAACTGCAAATAATTCTTCCTAGTTTGTCATTCATCCTTTGACTTTGTTCATTGTGTTTTTACCATGGGGATATATTTTTCTTTTATTGTTACACACTTGAATCTGTCATCTCTTGATAACTCCTTGGTCTCTTGATAACTCCTTGGTTTTGTGTCAGACTCAGAAAGGTCTTTCCCACTCCAAGATTATAAAAATTTCTCTCTGGTGTCACTTGGTAATTATATATTTCCACGTTTTTAACATTTAATTTTTTCTCTTTTTGGAAGCTATTTTGGGGTATAGTGTGATCTTACTCTGTTCTTTTTAGATGGCTTCCCAATGTTCCCAACTCTCTCTACTGAGAATTTGTCCTTTACTCATTTGAGATGCTATTTTTATCATATACTAAATTTTCTTTATGTATTCAGATCTGTTTCTGAACTTTTTGCTTATTTTCATTTATCTATCTGGTCTTATATCAGTATCACAGCACTCTAAAGACCACAGTTTTATAGTATGTTTTAATCATGAACTTTATTTTGAGAGTCTCTGGTTCCCCTGGGTCCTGAGGAGGGGAGGACAGAGATGCTCAGGACAGGGTAAGAGGGAGCCATTCACAGCAGGCTAGGTGCTGAGTAGATCTGGTGCCCATATGGGGACCAGATCTCCTGCCTCCTCCTCCCTCTGCCAAAATCTCCTGTTTCCCAGAAATCTCTCCCAGGTGAGTGTTCAAGAGAAATTGATGTACCCAGGAGGTGAGGGAGCAGGCTGAAGGGTTCTTGGGAGCTTTACAGTAAACAGGAGGCCTTTTCACTGAGATGCCCTGCTTCCTGTCCCACCTACCACCCTCTATGAGGTGCTTTGGTTACAGCTCACACCTCCCCAGCCTGCCCTGAGCACACTGCACCGCTCTTGTGTCCTCGCCTGACTCCCCTGTCTCAGTGGCAACAGCCCCCAACCCAGGACCTGCACAGAGGAGGTGTCTGTCAGGGACCCAACCTGAACCCCAGAGAGGAGCACTGGGTACCACATGGCCCCAAGGCAAGTTACTAGCTGGGCTGGGGCTGGGGCTTCTGCCTCCTACCAAGCCTCCATCAGCTTCTACCTGCCATCTGCTGTGTCTACTTCATCACCTCTCCTGGTGAATTCAGACTTCTCTCCATGCACTGGCCCAAGCTTTATGGTTTTTGCTGGTGTCCAGCCTCTGTCCCTCCAGCAGCAGCGTAAGGCAGGCACATTCACTGAGCGCCTCCTGCGTGTGCCAGGCACTGTGTTCACCATAACAGCAGTCACCATCATTTATCGGGTGCTGACCACATGTGTCGGGCACCTTTCACTCAGAAAATCACAATCATTTCACTCCTTACGACAGCCCTTTTCCCATGATATGCTTACTTTTTAAAATGATACCACTGATACTTAGTAAGCATTTTCTTCTGACCAGCCATTGTACTAATCATTTCACTTGCATTTCCTCATTGATCTTCCCCAACCGCCTTCCAGGTAGGTACTCACTATCCCTATTTCACAGCTCTGGAAAGGTTCCTGGAGAGGATGTGGAAAGATCCCCAATAGGTAGCAGAGCCAGGATTTGACTGAAGACCGTGACTCAAGTGAGGCTCTTAACCCTGGGCCAACTGTCTGCCATTTGGACTGCAAATCCCAGAGGTCAGATACCCCTAAGAGGCCAGCCGTTGCACCTCTGCAAGGCAGGATTCCACCTTCTCTCGGGTCCCAGCACCCTGGCCAGACTCATCGAGTGAATGAAAGACTCTCTTGTATCCCCTGTTCCCACCATTGCCATCACAAGCCACAGTCCCACGAGGACAGAGAACTCAAGGCCACTTTCTCAGAGGAGGACGGTGGTCTGTCTCTAGGCCTCTAGGGTGGGATTCATCCTTCTCAGTCAGATTTCAGGAGTGACGGTGGTTGCATTGTTGGGTGTCAGTGCTATTGCTGTGACTTAATGATGCAAGGTAGGGGGAGTCCCACAGACACTGAACATGCAGTGATGTTGCTGAGCGTGATGATTACCGCCAAAGCACCTGTGGAACCCAGAGATAATAACATTTTTAATTGTATTAGGGTTTGGGGAATCAGTTTTATTGCAAGTCATTTCCATTAACAGTTAGGTATTGTGATGAGACGCTCCCAGAAACCGCCCTTAACTCGCTGTGTGTAGGGCCTCCTCCCACGATGGCCACAAGGGGGCAGCTGCGCGCCGGGGTCAGCCGGGAGGAGGGGCCTGAGTGCCGAGGGCGGGGTTCTCAGGGGTTCGGAGGCGCGGCTGGGCCTCCCTGAGACTGCACAGCCCAGCGTGCTGTCAGAGAAAGCGCACACCCCCTCACCCCCTGAGATGGGCAGAAGGTGTTCGCTTCTGGTTCTGCCCCTTCGAAGCTCTGCAGCCAGCTGTTCCGCTCCCCGAACCTCGCTTCCCGGGTGTGAGATGAGGATACCCATACCTCCACTGAACCAACCTGGGGACCACGCGAAGCACCCCCACAGGCCCAGGCACGCTTGTGCCTCTTCCCGCCCTGAGCCCTGAGCCCTGAGCCCTGAGCCCGCATGTCGCAGCCCCTCCAGCTGCTCACCTGTCTCGGCCTCACTTGCGTCTCTTGGGGGAACATTCGTTTCCAGGCTGATGGGCTGGAATGAAAAGCCCCCAAAGGGAAACTTCATCCCAGGCGAGACTCAGCCTTCCCCGCCAGCGAGTAAAGGTCCCTGGGCAGGGAGCGGAGATGCTGGCCACCGCCCCACGCTCATCGTCTAGAAATGCCACTGTCCCTGCTCAGCGTCAGAGGGTTCTTGGCCCCTACTGCCTCTGGGAAAAGTTGCCTCGGGAGAAAGGGAGTGAGGGCCCTGCCAGCAGCGAGAATGGCTCCAGGGAGGCAGGGCAGCCGGCAGTGCTGTGGGAGGACAGGCCTTTGGAGGGAGGTGGGAGACGAGTCTAGAGAAACCAGGGAGACGGAGGTGGCGGCTTTGACCCTTGCAGAGACTGGGAGCTGCGGGAGACTTTGGAGGAGAGCCACAACCTGGGCTTTAGAGAGACAGGCCTCGGGGTGGGGAGGGTGGTGGGTGGAGTGAGATCCACGGCCAGGGGCGAGGGGCTGGGGGCCAAGGAGCCGAAAACCTCTGCTGAGCTTCGCGTGGTTGAAGATTTCAGGTCTCCCCTGTCCCTAGAGATCTCTGTCCCTTGGAGGTGCCACCTCATCCTCCATGAGAGCTGTGCTTTGCTTTCTTCTGGAGGCTGCAAGGAGGGTGGCCCCCATCACGGTGGACCTGGATGCTGGGAGTCTGGGAGAGGGCAGACCGTGGAGATGGGGCAAGTGGAGCTGTGTTTCACCACCCACCCCTGCCTGAAGTGCCACTGTGAGCCCAGCCCAGAGTGCCAGGCTGGGCTACACTCCAGGCTCCTCCAGTGGACCCAGGTCCTCAGCCTCCTTCCCCTAAGGCCTGGGCATGGCCTTGGCAAGTGGGTTTCCTCCTCTGCTGTGCCAAGCCGAGATGACAGGGAGGCTGGGCGGGGTGTGACTAATCTGCCTTGGGTGTGACTAATCTGCCAGGCCCAGGGAGGTATCCCTACTGAATATTCTCCCTCCTCACAGCTGCCTCCTCCTCCTGTCCCCATCCTCCCTTTCATTTCTCACTGTCCCTTCCTCATTGGGTCTGCCGGCCTCCTCCTGCCTCAGTCTCTCCCTGCCATGTCTGTCTGCCGGTCTCTGGTTTCCTGGCAGCCCATTCCTGTCTCTTTCCTCCCTCCCCTCTGCCCTGCTCCATTGGCCTCTCCTGCTCTCCCTGTCTCTCCCTTTGGTGCCTCTCTCAGACACACTGGGAACCCTCCCACCCACTCTGAGTCTGTCTGGTGTCTCTTCCCCCTCCAGATCGGGCTGGTAGTCATCCTGGCGTCCACAGTGGTGGCCATGTCGGCCGTGGCCCAGCTGTGGGAGGACGAGTGGGAGGTGCTGCTGATCTCCCTGCAGGTGAGTGGGGAGGGGGCCGGGGTGGCTGCTCCCCCAGGACCCTCACAACAACAGCCTTTCTGTCATTTCCCTTCCTCTAGACCAAGGCCCAAAGAGGGGCAGGGAGGGGCCCAGAGTCACAGAGCAGGTCAGAGCTAGGGAGGATGCCAGGGTCCTGAGGCTCCCAGTGTCCTCAGTTGGCAGATGGAGACAGGGTTGCCTGCCCATGGGTAGAAGTAGGAGGCTGGTGACACAGGGTCTGGGCAGAGCTGGGCGTCATTGGTCTCCCTTCCCTCTCCCTGCACGCAGGGCACAGCGCCATTCCTGCACGTGGGGGCCCTGGCAGCAGTCACCGTCCTCTCCTGGATTGTGGCAGGACAGTTTGCCCGCGCAGAGCGGACCTGTGAGTAGAACTGTGAAGGGCCTGCCCCTCCAATCCCTGCAGGTGCCAAGACCAGCTGGCGCTGCCATGACCTGGGCTTTCCCTGGGTGGCCTGGGGATGGGGTGGGGTCCCTGCACTCAGTGAGGGGGATCCTGCCTCAGAGTGGCCCACAGAGTCCATGGAGGGTCGCAGCTTCGGTCGGCCTCACACTGTATTCCTCCTCCATGCCTCTCTCTGCCTGCATGCATGTGTGTCTGTGTGAGTTAGAGGCGGGGTTCACCTTCCCAGCAAGAATAAAGGCTGCCTCCAAGAGCACCTGGATCCTGACAGGCCGGGGGTAGAGGGGTCCAGCATTGCACCCCAACCTGCCCGGGGCTCACCAGGCAGCACTAACGGCCCCTTACCTGCAGCCTCCCAGGTGACCATTCTCTGTACCTTCTTCACCGTGGTGTTTGCCCTCTACCTGGCCCCTCTCACCATCTCTTCTCCCTGCATCATGGAGAAGAAGGACCTTGGCCCCAAGCCCGCCCTCATTGGCCACCGTGGGGCCCCCATGGTGAGTGCCATCTCAGGGTCCCAACAGCCCCATGGGGTGGGGTGTGATGGGGGAGACCTTCTTGGGAAATTGATATATGTAACAGTAGCAACCATCTGTAGCTTTTTGAGGGGAGGTGCATGGGAAGGATTGGTAAAAAGGCCGGGAGTGCTGGGATGGAAGCACATCTTGAAGCATCCTGAAGGCGTCTTCCTAAAAAGATTTCACTTTTGTCTTAAGTGCCCTGCAAAGATGCAGGAGGGTTTTAGGCCCAGGCTAGACCCAGGTGCAGGTTAGGAAGGCCCAGGAGACGGATGCTGAGTGTGGGGCCTGGGGGCTGCCACCAGGCATCAGGAGAACCCTCCAGGAGAGCTGGGAGGCAGCTCAGAGCCCACTGTGACAGTGAGTGTGGCTGAACCGGCTTGAGTTGGAGAGAGAGGAAGGGGTCAAAGTCAGTGCCGCATTCTGCCACTGGGGCACCCCATGGCCCTGCAGGAGAGCTTCGGTGAGAGGGCAGGCTCCAGAGCCGTGCTGCCTGAGTTAGCATCCCCGGCACAGCCCCTCACCAGCTGTGGGAGGCCCAACAGTTTCCATCTCTGTGCCTGGTTCCCTCGTCTTGTACCATGGGATTAGAGAGAGCACCTGCCGTGGGACTATGAGGAGCAGGAGGTAGCCTGTGTGCAGTGCCCAGATATGCATGTGGCGCACAGAAAGTAAGAGGTAGACACCGCTGTTACCTTGGGCAGGGCCATCTCTCTGGACCAGGGTCTCTTCCTCCATGAAAGCCTTGAACCCTGGGCTTCTCAACAGAGGCAGTACCACTCCCACCCTGCTGAGGAGGCGGGGGTGTGGGCACTTCCTGAAGGCTTGGCTTCCCAGTGTTTCAGGCTGTTGTGGGACCTCAGGGTAGTAAGGGGGCCTCACATAACTGCTTTAGAAGGAGGTGCTGGGTCTGCCAGGCTGCCACTCACTCTGGAAGTCTGGCCCCCTGCGTGTGGTGGGTGTTATTTTCTCAATAAGACTCCAGCCCCCGAGCCAGACTCCCGTGCTGACCCCAGCCCCTCCCAGAGGCAGCCAGTGGGGATCTGGATCTGGGGTCCAGTTTGGCCACATGCTGCCTGTGCATCTTGGAGGGGGTCACCAGTCCACTCTATGCCTCAAAGGTATGGATGCCCCTGCTGCTGGTTATTGTGAGGATCAGTTGGAGCCCAGCCTTCCCAGCAGGGACAGGGGAACTCTTCTGAGGGGCTCAGAATGATGGCCTCTCCTGTCTCCATGACTCAGATTACCATCTCCCGGGCTTCCTCCAGCGGCCAGGGGACACAAGTGGTATGCTGAAGCAGGAAGGTGGGTGTGTGAGGGGGCCCCAGTGAAGATGGTTTTCTTTAGTAGATAAAGGTCAAATATATGTAGAAGTGGAGAAAAGCGCATAACAACTCACATAATGAAGAAGGATGTAATGAATCCAATCCCATACTTACCAACATTTGGCCATTCTTGCTTCATCTGTCTGCTACTTTTTTTTCTGGGGTAGTAAAGCAAATCTTAGGCATCGCATCGTCTTACCCATAGGCACTTCAGGATATATCTGTACACATGAGGACTTTAGAAAGATACATAACCACAATGCTGTTATTACACCCAGCCAATATTAAGGATAATGATTCCTTAATATTATCTAAAATAGAATCCATGTTCAATTTCCCTTTATGGTCTCAAAAATATCTTTTTACAGTTTAGTTGTTAAAAATCAGGATCCAAATGCGGTCCACAGCATGCATCTGGTTGGTGTGTCTCCGGAGTGCCTTTTGGTCTGTAACAATCCCCCCGCTGGGCTCGGTGGCTCATGCCTATAATCCCAGCACTTTGGGAGGCCGAGGCAGGCAGATCACCTGAGGTCAGGAGTTCGAGACCAGTCTGACCAACATGGAAAAACCCCATCTCTACTAAAAATAGAACATTAGCTGGTGTGGTGGCACATGCCTGTAATCCCAGCTACTTAGGAGACTGAGACAGGAGAATCACTTGAACCCGGGAAGCAGAGGTTGCACTGAGCCGAGATTGCACCATTGCACTCCAGCCTGGGCAACAAGAGTGAAACTCTGTCTCAAAAATAAATAAATAAATAAAAATCCCCCTCCCTTTTTTCCCTTAGGCTGTTTATTTGTCCTGAGAAACTGAGTCATTTGTCCTGTGGGATTTTTCACATTCTGCAACTGGGTGATCATGCCCTGGAGGTAGTTTTTGAGGGGCTGGCAAGGGTCCTCTCTGTGTGTCCCTGTGCATTGCCTTGGGGGTCTCTGACTCTGGGTCCACATGTCTGTGTGTGGTGGGCCCAAGTGTACATCTCTGTCTTGGAGACTGTGTGCCCCTGGACGTGTTGTTCCTATGCAGATGCGGCCTGTCCCTCTGTGCGTAGGTGTACATGTACTTTAATATTCGATTGCACTAACTCTGAAGCTAGGACTCTTTTTTAATAGTACTTTGAGTTGCTGTTTTATAAATCCAGGTCTCTTAACCATAGTGTCCTGCCCACCTGAGTAACTACCCCCCACCCCCATGCACAACCTCCTGACAACAGAACCCCACTTGGACAGGCCTGAGGCAGGTGCAAGCTCTGAGATGGAGACTAAGAATTCACCCCAGCAACATGTATGCTTCTGGGGCCTTCCTGGAGTCCTGAGTCTGGCCAGGGAGGGCCAGGTTTCCACATCTTTCTCCAGGAGGCCAGTACCCAAGCCAGAGAGACCTTAACTGTGTCTAAAAGCTTCCAAAAAAGACTTTCCCCTTCCCAAACACTTCCTCTGCCCTGAGGGTCTTCGTAACCCCTCCCAAGCTTCTGCTTTCTGCAGCCCCAGCCCATGCAGCAGGGAGCATGGACCCCTGTCAAGTGGTCACTGGTGGAAGGCCGGGCCACAGGATATTTAGAGATGGGTGGGATTCCACTGAGTCTGTGCCTCTGTCTTCATGCCTTTATAGTCCTGCTCCCCCTGGGAGTGCCTCACACAGCCCACTGGTCTGGGAGACAGGTAACATGTCCTCCAAGAGTGCTGTGTGCCAGGGACAGGGGAAGAAAGAAACTCATTACAGAGACCCTGCTGTGTGCCCGGTCCTGGACTAGGGTCTCTGACATTTGTTATCTCACCTATGAGGTTGATAGTGTTAGCCCATTTTATAGCTAAAGAAACTGATGCCCCGGCTCTGTGTCTGGGAAGTGGAATTGCACCTTTTCAGTCTGTTCCAAAGCCCTCACCACTCCCTGGGTCCCCAGTGCTAGGCTGTGTCACAGAAGAGGGGAGTGGCTGGGAACATCGTGGCCAGAGGGAGAGAAGGTAGGAATAGGATTGTCTTCAGTGGGAATGACTGAGATCAGCCATGGGAATCCTTCCCACCTCACCCCTTCACTGACAGGGGCGGGGATGGGGGGTGGGGTGTCCTCCCTCCCTTCTTCCCTGGGACCATCCCTCATGGGTCTGGGCTTAGCCCAATCCTTGGTTTGGTGCTGACCCCCAGTGGCAGCAAAGGGTATGACAGAGTCCTCAGATGAGATGGAATTAGGGAGGCTTAGAGCCCCAACTGTCCTAATTAGGCATAAGGACCCTCATGAATACACATCTCTAAGGGCACATGGGGAAACTGAGATCCACAGAGAAATATACCCAAAGTCAGAACAATAGCTAAAGGCAGAGTCAAGGCTAGAACCAGAGCCAGGTTGAGGAAGCTGAACTTCAGAGAAGCTGAGTGGGTGCCCAGGGTCACATAGCTACTCTGTGGAGGAACCAGAATTAGAACCAGGCCTCGCCCAGCCTCCTAACATGGAAGACTTCCCATTGGCTGGGGAGAGTACATCAGCTGAATCTTGGCTCTCCCTTCACCACCCCTTCTTCCCCAGCTGGCTCCAGAGCACACGCTCATGTCCTTCCGGAAGGCCCTCGAGCAGAAGTTGTATGGGCTCCAGGCTGACATTACCATCAGGTAGGTGTAGCGGAGGGGATATAGCTCCTCTAACCCCTCCCACACACATCAGCATCCACCTGGGTCTCTGCTGGGGGAACCTCTGGTCTCAGAGCCTCTGAGATGGGAGGAGGGGGGCTTAGATTATCCACAGCAGGGCAGGCACCCCGTTCCTGCAGACTCCAGGACGTAAAATAGAGGAAAGAACAAATGCTCTTGGTGCAAGCAGGAGCCCTGCCACAGAGCCACTTGAAGGGAAAAATAGATCTATATGGCTGTGTATGATAGAGCTCCAACACTCTCATGAGGGAAACAAAGCAAGTTGCAGAGTGATACAGTCACTGTGACCCCAGTTACGTTTTAAAAGACCACAGAAAAGTGACATATACACTTTCTCCCTGTACATATATAAGTAGATACTAGTATAAATGGCAGGAAGAATCCATACTAATCTCATAACAGGTTATCTGAGAAGAGAAGACGGGCAGGACTGTCATATATAGTTGTACAGGTTGTGTACTGAACAAGGGCATCACATATATGAGGACATTGTTCCCAGTATAGACATAGAATTGTGTATTTATCACAACTTTCTAGCAGATGGTGGTAAAATGCCTTGAGGAACAGAGGGCACGGGTGCCTTTTACTTTTTCACACTAAGGCACCATATGAGCTATTGGCAACCCTGGTAGAGTAGACAAGGATTGGGGTCGGATGGAATTTGCCAAAGAGGTCTACATTTGCGCTGTTCCCATCATAGCATCACAGGGATTTGGTTCCAAACCAGGTTCCACCACTTACAGGCTGTGGACCTTGAGCTAGACACTTCCCTCTCTTAGCCTCAGTTTCTCCATTATCAAATGAGGCAGCACCTACCTTCCAAGGCTGCTAAGAGAGTAGGTCCAGCTTTTTTCCCAGCCCTCCCTCCTTGGCAGTCCCCACCCCCATCTGACCCTCACAGAGAGCCAGAAGGCATTGGCCCTTCAGGGTCACCCACCAGCCCACTGTCTTCCCTGTGCAGATGGGGAGACTGAGGCCCAGAGAGTGGCAGCCCAGCCGGGATCCTGTGCTGGATGGGGAGGACTGTGTGGGGTGACGATCATTGGTGGGCAGGTGAGGGATCTGGGGGGTCAGTGACTCGACGGCCCCACCCTCCCTGCAGCCTGGACGGCGTGCCCTTCCTCATGCACGACGCCACCCTGCGGCGCACCACCAACGTGGAGGAGGAGTTCCCAGAGCTGGCCCGCAGGCCTGCCTCCATGCTCAACTGGACCACCCTGCAGAGACTCAATGCTGGCCAGTGGTTCCTGAAGGTCTGGCTGCACCTGATCCCAATCTTAGGCATGGAAAACACCAGCAGGGACTGCAAGGAGTGAGATGCAAGGGTGGCCATCAGCTCCGAGACCCCCACTCACAGGGCTTTCCCGACCTCCACCCAAGCTGCTTAGTGGCCTCCTGGGCTCCTGCCACTGCTGCCAGATCTCGTGGTTGTCACTGCTTGTTCTGGGTCCGTTTCCCTTACTATAAAAGGTTGACAGGGACGAGAGCAGTAAATAGAATTGTTAACTCTGTAAAACTCTAGAGAGGGGTTGGCTTTCTGGTCTGAAACGCTCTAGAAGGAGAAATGCCGTGGGTCTGGGCATGATTCCAAGTAAGCTGTCCTCTGTCCTCTTGCTAAGCAGGGTGTGGGGAAGAAAAGTGAGGGCTGGGGCCTCCTACAGCCTCCACATGGCCACAGCCATCAATCTGCCGACCCCAGCAGCCTCTGGCAGCCCAGGGGTCTCCACGCTCGGTTGCCAGAAGGGTATGTGGGGGCCCCCAAAGGGCTGATGATGCAGCCATGTGTGTGTCCCTATTCCTGCCAGACTGACCCCTTCTGGACAGCCAGCTCCCTGTCACCCTCCGATCACAGAGAGGCCCAGAACCAGTCCATCTGCAGCCTGGCAGAGCTCCTGGAGCTGGCCAAGGGCAATGCCACACTGCTGCTCAACCTTCGTGACCCGCCCCGGGAGCACCCGTACCGCAACAGTTTCCTCAACGTGACTCTGGAGGCCGTGCTGCACTCTGGCTTCCCCCAGCACCAGGTGAGGCCCTGCAGCGCAGCTCTGCTTCCGGGAGCTCTGGCCTGCTAGAGCCCTGCTGCTGCATAGCCTCTCCCTGTTGCACTCCGGACTTCAGCTTTCTCATTTGTAAAATGGGGATCACACACCCCTTACTTCCCTGGCAGAGTCATGGGACAAGAGGAAAACAAGAAAACACCTTAAAATGTATAAAGGTCCAGGCTGTCAAGTTATTTCAGTGAAGTGTTGCCCTGTTGTGTGGTGTAATAATTTGGGACCAGAGAAATCTGACATCAGTTTAGGACAGCACACTAAGTGCTAGTGGCCATGTGCAGAGTAGTGGCTGTTTGGGTTTTCCCTCCGGTACTAGCAGCAGGCCAGAAGGGAAGCTTCCTGAGTTGCTCCCAGTGCGCTTTGCAGCCTTGGCTGGGACTGAGTCCTGCCCTGCTAATGACTGCATCTAAGCTTTCACTGCCTGCCAGGTCCCGTCTCTCAACCCCACGGGTGCTCTAGGAGGGGTAGCTACTCTTACCCATTGTGCAGAAGAGAAGTCCGAGGCTGCTTCTCTCCTGCCTGCAGGTCATGTGGCTGCCTAGCAGGCAGAGGCCCCTGGTGCGGAAGGTGGCTCCCGGCTTCCAGCAGACATCGGGCTCCAAGGAGGCGGTCACCAGCCTGCGGAGAGGCCACATCCAACGGCTGAACTTGCGCTACACTCAGGTGTCCCGCCAGGAGCTCAGGTGCCTGCCCTGACCCAGGCTCCTCCAGGAGAGGGTGGGACTGAGTCTCTCTCAGTCCTGCCACCACCGCCCCACAAAACACACACACAGTTGGGCAGAGGGATGGGCACACAGAGGAATCGGGCACACATGGTTCAAAGACGACAGGGTATGTCAGGCAGACCCGGGCTTGTCCCCGAGCTTGGCCCTCTGGAGCCGACGTTCCTTCCACCGGGCATGGCTGTGAAGTGGTGAAGAGGACATGCTTTACCAGCCCTCACACTGGGCCCGGAGCTGCCAGAGTCCACATGCTGACCCGCCTCTCCCTTGCCTCACAGGGACTACGCGTCCTGGAACCTGAGTGTGAACCTCTACACAGTCAATGCACCATGGCTCTTCTCCCTGCTGTGGTGTGCGGGGGTCCCATCCGTCACCTCTGACAACTCCCACACCCTGTCCCAGGTGCCTTCCCCCCTCTGGATCATGGTGAGTTGGGGGGCAGAGGGCACCTGGGGGGCAGTGCTGGAGCTGCCTATGGCCTGCCCTGACCACTCAGCAAGCTCTGTGCTTGGGGCTGTCTCTGGGAGGTCTCTGGCATGGTGGGAAGTCTGTAGTGGGGGTGCAGGCTTGAGGCATGAGGATTTCATGGCATCTGGGATCTGCACTAAGGTATTGGGAGGACCCTGGGCCTGATCCACAGGGAGAAAAGCATCACTAAGGGCTCTAGAGAAGTAAAGAGCTGCTTGGGTTTCTTTGGTTTGGAGGGTAACAACAGGACCGGAATAGGAAGCATTGACTGGGCGCGGGGCTCACGCCTATAATCCCAGCATTTCGGGAAGCAGAGGCAGGATGATGACTGGAGCCCGGGAGTACAAGACTAGCCTGGGCAACATAGTGAGACCCTGTCTCTACAAAATAATAATAATAATAATAATAATTTGCTGGACATGGTGCATGCCTATAATCCCAGCACTTTGGGAGGCCGAGGCAGGCAGATCACCTGAGGTCAGGAGTTCGAGACCAGTCTGACCAACATGGAAAAACCCCA